GTAGAAAGTGAGACCAGAGAGGTAATGAGCAGCCAGCTCATTACTTAGTAGTCGCCCTCTAGTTTCTGTGTTGGGAATGGCCCACAGGGAAGCAAAGGTGGAAGAAGAGACCACCTAGGAGGCCATTGCAGTCATCTAATCAAGGAATTATCGTGGTTTCTACCAAGGTGGAGGCAGTGAGAGGGTGACAGAGATTGGATTCTCCAGATGTACAGCTGACAGGATTTCTGGTGAATTAGAGAAAGAGGAGTCAGTGGGCTTGAGCGATAGGAAGTGTCTGATATTGGAAGGCTGCAGGTGGAGCAGTTGGGATGGAGAGTAAGGAGATCTGAAACTCCATTTTAGATATAATATGTTTGAAGTATGTAAGTCTTCAAAGTTTTGTTTTTTAATCTCAAAATTCACATTTTTTTCATGTCCCATTTCTTATGTCCTCTTTGATATAGCTTTAAAAAAGGATAGGCATATGAATAAAACATGAATTATACTTTTGAAAAAAGCCAGATTCAAAAGTTTATATACTGTATACTTTGATTTATATGACATTCTGGAAAAGGTAGCTATAGGGACAGCTAATAGGTTAGTGGTTGCTGGAACTATGCATTTGTCAAGAACTGTGCCCTAGAGAGGATGGATTTTATTGTATATACTTCATACCTAAGAAAAATCTATGATAAGGGGCCAGCCGAGTGGTTCAGTTGGTTAAGAGCTTGCCCAAGAGTTCGAACTCTGAGCAACAGGGTCACCGGTTCGATTCCCACAAGGGCCAGTGACGCTGTGCCCCAAGCTGAGCTGCTGCTGAGCCGCCAACAGGTGGCAGGATGGCTCAGCTGGTGAGAGCATGTGCTCCTAACAAGGCTGCGGGTTTGAATGGTGGGCTATACCCACAACTAAAGACTGAGCTCGATACCTTGAGCTGGGCTGCCCCCTGCGTGACTCAGGGGATAGAGCATGCACTATTAACAATGAGGCTGCTGGTTTGACTCCTGCATGGGATGGTGGTTACACCCACCCGCAACTAATTGAATGCAGCACCTTGAGCTGAGCTGCACTACTAGACTTAGAGCTGAGCTTGCTGTGCCCTCCACAGCTAAGATTGAAGGACAACAACTTGGCTGTTCCCTTTCCCCAATTCCCCAACATTGTTCCCCTCCCCCAATGCCCCAACACTGTTCCCCTCCCCGAACTCCCCAATAAAATCTTAAAAAAAAAAAAAGAAAAATCTATGACAGCTCCTGATTCTGCATCCTTCTAAACACTGAACAGCAAGTAAGGGTCTCACTAACTTTGTAGGGATTTAGCATAAGTAGCAAGTGGATAGTTACAGGAGGCTGGCTAATAGTTGGAGCTAGCTGTGGAAGGAAGATAACGGAAATGTTATTTTATACATCTTGTACTAGGCACTATAGTCATTAAATTAGCCGTGTTATCTCTCCAAATAATCCATGTTAATTACTTTAATCACCCCAAAATGTAAGGGGGAAATGTGAGACAGAAATAAAGTTACGTTTCTGATTATAACCTTAAAAATATAAAAAAAACCTGTGTGTGCTCTAGTTTTTGCTTGACTGAAGATTATGAAACATACATACTATTGGGCTGTTTGATGTTTTTTTTTTGTTTGTTTGTTTTTTAAAGATTTTTATTGGGGAATTGCGGGGAGGGGAACAGCGCTGGGGAATTGGGGGAAGGGGAACAGACAAGTTGCTGTCGTTTTGTTCTTCAATCTAGTTGTGGAGGTCGTTGCTTCACTG